CGTGATTGACTAGGACTAATTACGTGACAGACTAGGATTAATTCAGTGATTGACTAGGACTAATTACGTGACAGACTAGGATTAATTCCGTGATTGACTAGGACTAATTACGTGACAGACTAGGACTAATTCCGTATCTTTTCAAGTCCTCCTTTAGGTAGTATATTCCCTCATAAACATAAATACGTTTATTGTATTACTCAAAATCGGTCTAAGCCTTTCCGTATCAATATTCACTTGGATTAGAAAGATTATCTGACGAGTTAAATCTTGGAAAGATCCACCCAGGACCCGTCAGAGAAATTCCGGAACAATTTTTCTTTCTTTCAAAGTTTACTTTTCTAAATCTAATCTGAATGTTTCTACGCATGCTCCTTTCCCCGCCCCCATTCCACTACTACCACTAACATCTAAAGTTGGCATAACACAAAATTTTCGTAAGAATTGTATCATTGAAATGTATTTCAGTAAGTTAGGAAAACATCAAATTGAAAAAAAGATCAGACAGATAAGTCCTTCGAGACCTGTGATGCAATTATTGTTAGAAGTAATGAAGTGTACAGTTGTTTCCTATCAGGTCTAAGACACTACCAAAGTGTTTGTGTGTGTGTGTCTCTCTCTCTCTTTCTCCCTTTCTTTCTTTCCTTTTCTACCTTCCTTCTCCCCCTCTTCCGGACCCTCGCCTTGGGCCTCCGTAGAACAAAGATTTGATCACTTTGGATCTAAAGACAGTAACGGCTCTGGAACGTTTTCAACCAATGCTGCCATCACACATGATAAACACTTGATACAGATTCAAGTTTTATTAAAGTTAGGACTTAACATTTTCCTTGATACAGATTCAAGTTCTATTAAAGTTAGGACTAAACATTTTCCTTGATATAGATTCAAGTTTTATTAGAGCTAGGACTAAACATTTTCCTTGATACAGGTTCAAGTTCTATTAAAGCTAGGACTAAACATTTTCCTTGATACAGATTCAAGTTCTATTAAAGTTAGGACTAAACATTTTCCTTGATACAGATTCAAGTTTTATTAAAGTTAGGACTAAACATTTTCCTTGATACAGATTCAAGTTCTATTAAAGTTCGGACTAAACATTTTCCATGATATAGATTCAAGTTCTATTAAAGTTAGGACTAAACATTTTCCATGATATAGATTCAAGTTCTATTAAAGTTAGGACTAAACATTTTCCTTGATACAGATCCAAGTTCTATTAAAAAATGTTTAGTCCTAACTTTAATAGAACTTGAATCTGTATCAAGGAAAATGTTTAGTCCTAACTTTAATAGAACTTGAATCTGTATCAAGGAAAATGTTTAGTCCTAACTTGTCAATTAATAATATAATGCCTTTTTATATAACTTCTGCGTATTTTTATTGGGTAATCAAACATAAAAAACATAATAGTTATTTGTTCTATAAGTTCTTCACTGTTTCGCATGTGATTAAGTTAAGCGGTGAAAGTTTCGACGGCTTTAGCTGAAGACCTAAAAACAAAATATCATAATTTCGATTACAAGAAGTCATAATGAATTCCTTCTACCGCTGATGGCACGTAGAGCTAGTCAGATCAGCTATTACACGTTTTGAGTAATCAGCACGCTTTCATTTTGCGTGCTGTATTTTATAATATTTAAACAACTCAGGGTCTATGATATTCAATAAAGACAATTTCCTGAAAATGGTCGAATTCTAATTTGAGATTGTTAATTTCGGAGGAAATTACATGTTTACTAAACCGTTAATAACGGTTCAGATGCTGCTGTCTAAACGTTAGATAATGCAGTATGGTGATTAAATACCAACAAAGAAGGAACGTACTAAAGCTGTAATAAGAGCGACGTTTATTGATTCGTTTTGTGATAAAACTGTAATTAGTTTGTTTAATTATCTAGAAAACTTTGCTAAACATTTACAATAAGCATAACATCTCTCTCATAATGAAGAGATTTTGTTATAGAATCTCGGTATTATACCGATATAAATATATATATATATTTAGAATTAATTTTGTATACAGTTAGCATTTATAAATTATTCCAAACTTTTCGAAGAATTTCATTGAAAGCATAAAAGACTCATTGAATTTCCAGGAACTGGTGAGAGAGAGAGAGAGAAAATAGGGGAGGAATCCAGTGTAACGTAGCATAGTAACAAACAGGACAGGAATATTATGTAACGTAGCATAGTAACAAACAGGACAGGAATATTATGTAACGTAGCATAGTAACAAACAGGACAGGAACATTTTGTAACGTAGCATAGTAACAAACAGGACAGGAACATTGTGTAACGTAGCATAGTAACAAACAGGACAGGAATATTGTGTAACTTAGCATAGTAACAAACAGGACAGGAATCCAGTTTAACGTAGCTTTGTAACAAACAGGACAGGAATCCAGTGTAACATAGCATAGTAACAAACAGGACAGGAATACTGTGTAACATAGCATAGTAATAAACAGGACAGGAATCCAGTGTAACGTAGCATAGTAACAATCAGGACATGAATACTGTGTAACATTGCACTCCATTATTTTATTCTCTGTCACCGACATGCAGACCACAATTCTGAACGAAATGACTACAGGTGGACATGACACCTAGTGGAATTTTGTGAAATCTATGTCACGTGAAGCCTAGATTATTAAGTAAGGGAAAGGTTTCCCAAACACGACATTAGGTCATCTTAAAAATTCAGAAAAGAAAAAAACACGCAAGAAATGCTCTTGCCTGTAGTAAAAATATTTACTATTCGGTGTATGGAAATTCGATGATAAATACAGCTTTTAATTTATTCATCCATCATTTTTTATAGTTGCGTACTGCGAGATAATTTTGAGCACTAGTTTTCTTGTTTATTATAAACTGGCTTATGATATCACGTGCATACTTATAATTAATTTTATTGATGCGTTTATTTGTTTGTTTTGAGCCTAAAGCTGCAAAATGTGCTACCTACGCTGTGCCCACTGTAGGGATCGAATACCGAGTTTTAGAGATATAAGCCTCAAGCCTGCCGCTAAGTCAAGGTGGTTATAACTCGTTTGTTTATTGAGCGCAGAGCTGCAAAATCGGTTATCTACGCTGTGCCTGTTGCAGGGTTCGAACCCCGAGATTTAGGGCTATAAGTTTCAAGCCTGCCGCTGAGCCACTGGGTGGAGGTCTATTTATGTGACTAAAGCTTTTCCAATAGACTCGTTCAACTTCACTTCTTACTTTTGGGGCCCGGCATGGCCAGGTGGTTAGGGAGCTCGACTCGCAATCTGAGGGTCGCGGGTTCGAATCCCCGTCACCCCAAAACATGCTCGCCCTTTCAACTGTGGGGGCG